AAAATTGGCCATGAAGTTAGGGCTTTTTAAGTGTAAAACCCTTGAATTTTTCTAAGTGTTTAAAAGTCTTCATCTTTGACTTTTGTTGACTTTCTTGATTCTCTTGATTCTTGATGATAAATGTTGACAAATTTGAATGCTTTAGTGATTCTTGACTTTTGAAGTTTAATGTTGACCAAAAAGTCCTAGTTTGACTTTTGTGTGATAGTTGACTTTTCATCAGATGATTCCAATTTGTTCACTATCAATCAATTATATTTTTGAAAATGTCTTGAGCCACATAATTAGGTCAATATATTGCGTTTAATTTATTTGAACCATGCCTCAAGCCATTAGGTTATGTACTGATTCAAAAGTCAAGGATCCACTTTAATCAACCAAAATCCTAGTTGATCAAGACTTGCACTGATGAAGATTTTGATTCAAAACCCTGCTTGACACAAGGAGCGAACACACAATTTATTTTTGTATTTTGTTAGAGATGCAATGATGCATATGAGATGGGATCTTAGGTCAAAAATTAGGGTACAACAATATGCTTCAGAGATTTTTCACAGGTCGAGAAGATTTGCTTTGGAATAAGATTATATCTCCAGTTGTACAAAAGATACTAAATTGGGCTTTAAGACAATTTAGGAAACTTTGTATCATTTGTTCCAGGATTGAAGGAGATTGGCGTCACACTTAGTGCATCACTCAGCTTGTGGATCAAGAAACTTTTAGACTCAGAATATCAAAGCCCATGGATTGTAGAGGTGTATTTAAAGAGGAATCCTAACTTAATGTAATTTAAGTTTTCAATAATTGTAGAAAATTAGGGGAAGCATAAGTCTTAGATTTTGAGAGTCTCTTAGAGCATGATTATCAGTGTTCTTTGAGAGTTCCTACACATTTATTAAAGAAATTGTGTCAATAATAAATGGATATTTCACTTGTTTTCACGTTCCTGAACTAAAGCACGTCTTCATACTAAAGCACGCTTCTACACTCCAATTAAGTGGGTCATGATAATAAATTAATAAATAAAATTGCAAAAATGTAGTTGATTTGTTTTAAATGTGGGACCCATTTTAGATTTTTTGATGAGTTACATGGATATTTGAGAATTGTAGATGGGTTGTTTAAAAAATTGAAAAGTGTGAAATAATATAAAAAATTATGTGGGTCCCATTTAAAGAACCCAAATGGGTATGATGGATGTGGATGCTCTTATGTAGTTATGTGTCACCCATGTATCTTTTGATACTATGTGGTCGACTGTTTGTTACTTGACTGTTAGTCAAGTTATTGTTCTTACTTAAAGCTTTCAAACAAGAGTTTGAGTTTTTATATTCTAAGTGTAATCTTATAAATTGGGTTGCAATTGTTGCAGTCACTGGGATTGGGACTATTAGATATCACTAAGGTGATTTAGGAAGTGAGATGGAGATTCCTCATATTTAGGAGGTTCCTAGGTAGAAGTTATATTGGGTAGTGATTAGGCGAGAAGTTGTAAACGGGGGAGTTTAACTTTGAACTAATACTACTGATAGTGGATTTCCTTTCTGGTTTGGTAGCCCCCCGAGTAGGTGATGTTGCACCGAACTGGGTTAACAACTCTATGTGTTATTTATCTTTCTGCAATTTTAATTTTTGTATCACTTATAGTTTAATTGATCTGGTCTACTACCAGATGTTGTAACATCTGTCTCGATATCGTAGGTTGTTAAGATAGTTTTGTTTATATATGTTGCATGTACCAGAAGTTCACTCAATTTATTTTACATTGTTCAAACTCTCTTATTTTCATCATCTTTCTCACACGATAAACCAACAATCAAAGCCAAGCACAATCAATTATGTCCCGAATTTCTCTCTCAATCTCGCTTCTTTTTTTTTTTGCGTATCTCTTTCAACTGAAACTTCCTCTGTTCTTCTCACGCCCTATTTCCTTTTTGACGGAGCTATTAAAAATGAACAGAGCATGAACAAAACTCAAGCATCAATAAACAAAACCCACAAACCCTTACCCTCTAACAAAAACAAATAAACAGGTACTCAAACAACAAATTCGGAGCAAAGGAAAATTCCATGTTCAAGCTACGAACGAAACTGCTAATACAAACTACGATATTGACAAGTAAACACAAAGAAATAGTAAAAATACTAACTCTGAAAGTTCTCTGAGGTAACGTCCTCAAGGTGAGCTCTATGTGGTTGTTGCTTTTGTTACAATTTATAACTTCATCGTGTGAATGCAGGTGCAAGGGCGTTGTTGCTACTTGTAACTGAAGGTTACAGTGTCGACACAATTACGAAACATTGTTGTTGTTTGACGCGTTGAAGAGGATGTTGAGTTGTTGTTTTTGGTATAGATTGAGTATAGTTTGGATTGTAAATGAATTTGAGTTTTTGAAGTGAAATGTGAATTTGGAATTTGGTGAAATGCTTATGTAAATTATGTTGTATTCACGTGGTCTCTAAACACTATTTTCCTTTCCTATTTTGACAAAAATAAAAGACTAATAATAATAACAATAAACAAAAAATGAAAAATGTTAATAAGATTAAAAATAAAAAAATGAAAATAAAAAATAGAAAAGACTTTAAAATAATTGATTTTAGTTTTAATAATAATTCAACTTAAAAAGATTTTTTAAATTGAATTGAAATTAAAATTCAAATCAAAATTATTATTGAATTGAAAGAGAAATAATAATCATATTGACTATAAAATAGAGTTTGACTTTAAATTAAAATGAAATGAAAATGCAAACGAAAAATGATATGAACAATATTTTTTGAGATTTTTTTTAAATTAAAAGGAAATAAAAATTGTAAATAAAAAATAACATGATGGTGATTATATTTTTATGATTTTTTTAAAGTAAAAAAGAAATGATGAATTAAAACAAGAGATATGCAAAGATAATCGATTTTCAGAAGAAAAAAAACTAAAAAAATACATCAATGAAAAAATGGGACAAAAATAAGGTATGATAATTAGGTATGAATGATGATTGATTTGAGGAAATCAAAAATCTCATAACTTTCTTCAATATAGAAGCTAACTGTTAGTGTAAGCTCTAGAGGTCAATATTTTTTATACTTTTATCGAATTATTTATTAATAATAAAAGACATTTCTTTATTATGTCTGTTTTTCCAAAATAATAAAGTCCCCAGAATAGTTCGTCTGTTTAATGAAATGTTAAGTGTGACATAATCATGAGATCACATTAAACATAAGAACACTATTCTTAAAGTATCTGTAGTCGAGCTTTATTACGAAGTAGGATAACATTAAAGCATTGAGATTATTATGTAGATAAACTGATAATCACACCTCATGGATCATGGATAAGGAGTTATCAAGTCTTTATATAGGTATGAATATTAGGAGTAATATTTATACCGGATTGATCCGCTATGAGAATACTACATAGAATGTTATGCAATGTGTCATAAGTTATTCTCATGGTGATAATGGTGTATACCATCATTCGATCTGAAATCACTATGGACCCTAGATGTAGAGTTAAGTACTTTATTGCTGATCAAATATTATCCGTAACTAGATGACCATAAAGACAATTGATGGGTACTCTAAAAAGCATGTTGAGGGACATGAGTGACTTAGATAGAATTTGTTCATCCTGCATAACAGGATAAATGTCTAAGAGCCCAATATTGAACTGGACAAGGATGACACGGTCTATGTCTTGTGTTCAATATAGACATAAGGGCAAAAGGATAATTGTACACATAAATATTATCACGAAAAGGTTTTGTCAGATCACATGACATTTTCGTGACTTGGGTAGCAGTGATGTGTTGCTAGATACTGCTCACTGTTAATTATGTTAAATGTGTGATTTAATATAATTGTCAACGTCACGAAAACCTACAGGGTCACACACATAAGGACAAATTGATGAGAGATGGAGTAAATAAGGAACATCGTAAGATACGGTGCACTTAAGTGAATTGTATAACACTGTAAGGTACAATACACTTAAGTGAAATATGGAATATGGTAAGATACCACGCGCTTAAGTGATATGCGGTATATCATAAGGTATGATACCCATATGCTTAATTGGGCTTTTAGTTTGTAGCCTTAATTAGACTTTTAGCTTGCAGCCCACATAAGTGGTTCTATAAATAGAACCCTTGTGTTTATGCATTTCACTTGATGAAATTTCGTTCTTGAAACCCTAGCCATATTTTGTCTCACTCTCTCACTCAAAATTTTTATTCGTAAGCAGCTTGTACTGTGACCGGAAGTGATTTGTTGGTGTGGACTGAGTAGAGACGTTGCTATTCATCAACGTTCGTGATCACAACATCAAATGTCTGAATCACCACAAAAGATGATGATTTCCATCACTGACTATGCCCATTCGTAAAAATTACTAAAAGAAAATTTCAATTTTCCACTGTGTTTTAGATCACAATTTTCCTTCAGTAACATCTTGGAAACAATTTTGAGCAATGAACCTATGTGTCAAATATGTCTAAAACCCGCCACTTCTTCAAGGTTATATGACTTAGGTATCAAAGTGACGAAAAATTCAATAATTGTCTCGGATAATTTAGCATTGGCATGAAACTCCCTCACAAAAGCATACACATTCTCTTTAAAGATTTTCCAACAATTTTTAAAGAATCCCAAATTGAAACTGTCGGGCCCTGGACTTTTGTCATTCCCACAAAGCCAAACGAATTCCTTGATTTATTTAATGATAACGATTGCTCATATATAATCACCTACACAAAAACATTTATCTAATAAGCATCGAATTAGGTTGTTTTTCTTAAAACATCTTAGATTATATCATTTATGATTCAACACATAATAGGTATTATGATCATACAAAGCATACACTCTCTTATAATTATGCAAAACTAAATCCTCACATCTCACCTAAACATATTGTTAAAGCTAATAGTCTACATGCATGGTTTGGTGAATCCAAGCTAGAACAAAACCTTGGCCTCTCATATCACACATACACTCACTCACCATATGAAATCTTTTCTCCAACTCACTTCATCATTACTAAAGTAAAACCCATCTTGTGTAACCCTCCAAGAACACAACCTATGTAATCCACAACGTTGTGTGTCCCTAGAAGCCTCAAATGCATCAAAGCTCTTCCTTGTGCTATCCCATTTCATTGTACACTTCATATAGTTGCTACTCCAAAAATTGGGCCTCATGATCCAGCTAAATTCATCATGTTGTTGCAAAGCACGACCACCAAGATCCATTTCCTCAGATGAACACCAAATGACTAAAGGAACTGAAGAATTATCAGTGAATTCGTTAATCACACGAACATGGTATTCATCACTTCCAAACATATGATGTGTTCTTTGTACTAAAGCCATTACAATGAAAGTGGAAGAGACAAAACATAGTATAAAGTAAACACTCACCACAAATTTCATTCTTTTTGTCAATTTTTATGAGTGATAACACATGCATATGTCTGTGTTTTGTTTCTGAGGCTTTGTATATATAGCAACCAATATCAACTTACTCAACTTGAGTTATCATTGCCTTTTAATTTAATAATATTCTAATGATAAGGTTTAGAGCTTTAACAAATACTTTTTATCCTTTCTTTTAATGAAAAAGATGAGATAAGAAAAGAAAAGGTGTCTCTTATTTGTACCGAAGAGAAAACGACAAACTAGAGAGAAAAGTGGTGGGGCTTACATGCTTTTCTACCCAAATTGAGAATAAAGATGGATGGAGAAAGTAGTAATATGTATTTCTATTCACACCCTTAATAAATATATATCACATAAGTAAAGCATTTATATTCACACCCCTTGATAAATATGTACAACATGTCTTTGTAGAGAAATATTTACATGAAAACGGACATAAATTTATATTTAGAAATAATTAATAAGAAGAAAGTAAATTTTAAATTTATTTAAAATTTAATTTATTTTTTAATTGAAATTAAAGATGATTGTAATAAGGAAGAAGAAAGAAAAACTTATTTAATTTTTTAATTAATAAAAATTTATGATTGGTTGTTTTTAAATTTAATTATTATATGTGTATTCATGCAAATATTTGTCGTCTTTGTATTCTTTTCTCTTTATTTTAAAGTTTTTTTTTTTAATTATTGATTTAAAAGTATTAAAAATTGTTTTATAAAAAAATATAAAAATATATTGATATCAACTTTAAATGATGTTCCGATGAAAAACAATGATCTATAAATTACAAGGGTCTAGAATAAAAATATTTGTGCTCCAAATGACGTTAAAATAGTGACATTAAGAAATATATATATTTATCATTCAATAGAAGATTATAAGGTCCAATAAACGGATTTGGGTTTGTCCTTAAAGAAGAGTCTAATTTCAACTAGGGAGAGAAAAAAATGTTAGATAACAAAATGAATTTTATCTTGGCAAATAAATTGTCAAAGATAAAGATTGAAGGGTGAGAAACTCTAGCAGAATTTCTATAATTAGGGGCTGCATAATATCAAATGAGGTACATGTACAAATTCCCTTAATAAATTTATATCTCTCATCTCAGACGATCACTAACTTGGATATCAGAGAGTGTATGTTTGTTTCTCCACCAACATACGCATTGTGACCACCTAGTCATTTCTTCCAACTATATGATACCTAATCATTTTGAGAAGTAACTTATTTATTAGAAAGAACATTGGTGTCATTTGTGGAAATAATAAAATAATATTTTGAACGTGTTATAAAAAATACTTAAAGAATGACGAATCAAAAAAGAAGACTCACTCATAACTTCAAGCATCCATAATATGTAGTAAGTACGACAGTGAGGGAAACTTTGAGGCGAGACGAGGGTGATCAGTGTATTTTAATACACCATATTTTACTTTGTGCTGAGATAATTCTATGACTTCTTGTATTATGTTAATTGTTTTTAATATATTTTTGAAGTTAAGTTTAAATTTGCTTTGATTTTATTTCTATTGCTTATTTTTGGAATAAACTATAGTTTGATACCTTCTCGTTGTAGAGGTCGTAACTTGAGCTACAGGATGTCGTTTGAAGAGTTTTAAATATGCGTTGGAAAGATGAACGAATAAGCTACAAATTTTATATTTAAGTAAAAAGTCAATTTGAAGTATAGAAGAATCGAATAATTCGTTTTAATTCAAGACTTAATAAAAATAAATTAGTTAGTTTTGGGCCAACTTTTGTTTTTTGGATCGGTGCTCTTAAAGCCAAAATTTATTTATTATTTAAGATAAACTAAGCATTAGGGAAAGAGAGATACTTTTTAGGAATTAAAGAGAGCATTAGGATTACATGGCTGACTAAACTCCAAAGTTAATTTACTGTTCAGTATTTCATCAAGATTTTGAGGTTATTATCGTTTTTTATTCAATTCCTTTCAATCATATTTTGTGTATTTTTGTTTGCTTATTTCGAAATTTCATTAAGATTTTGATAAGATTCTTCAAGGAAATTGCAAAACAGATAGATTTGATGGTCATGAATAAATATATTTATTTGAACCGTATTATTTACTATATTTTGTACATTGATATATTTTATTTTTTCTTTTAGATATTATATTTATTTACTATTTATAACGAAATTTTGTGATTTGTACAAACGCACGAATATCTTACTAGTAAAAATTGTAAATGTCAACTTGGACAAATAAAATTTATAACAGACCTATAATCTTTTAAGCATAAATTGTGTATCATAAATTGTTTGGCCTATTTTACTTTATGTTTAAAAAAAACTAATGTTTTATGATATTGTTTTAACTCTATGAATATCATTTTTATCTTTGAGTTTTACCCAAATCTTGTCCACTTATGCTGCCTCTAACTTTGATCTCTTCTTACTTCAATTTTTATTATTTATAACTTGTACTCAAGAAGGTAGACATTGTTATGTTTGATAAATGGTGGTGCTATTTTTAGTAATTTTAATGTTAGTGAATTTATGGTGTATGAAAATATTCATAAAAATGAGAGATTTTTAAATAGGAATGGTAAAGTATATACATAAAATTTATGCGGTAACGTTGTACTCAGTCATTTTTGTTTTGGAGGAATGCACGAGTTACATGTACATTCAAGTTAAACATTAGAAGACCAATACCTAGATTGCAGCCAAAGTTTAAAAGGTGCTACATGTGTTTGGATGGACCAATCTTATGAACAACCTTAGTGAATCATTCAATGCAACTATATTAATGAGTGGATTATGAATTACGTAATGGGTAGGTTTGCGACACTTAGGAAAAAAGTGGAAAATTATAAAGGGGAAATAATGTGTAAACCCCTTAGGAGGTTAGATAGAGAGATAGAAAAGAGTGTTAGTTGGATGCCAACATATGCAGGTAGATTAACCTTTCAAGTGTCACATGTAATGTTCACTAATAGCTTTATTGTAAATTTGGACAAGCATACTTGCTCATGTAACTTTTGGGAGTTAGTAGGAATCCCATGTAGACATGTTGTTGCAACCATACATAGGAAAATTGATGATCCCATCAAGTACGTGCATAAGTGTTATCATAAGGACACGCGTGTAACATGCTACAATGAAGTTATCACTCTCATCAATGGGAAAAACAGATGGCCTAAGACAAGTGATCCTAAAATTATACCAACCATGTTTAAGAGATGTCCAGGTAGGCCAAAGAAACTGCACAGAAGAGACCCAAAAAAGGCTTCACAAATTAGATGGAAAAGATCAAACACAAGTCACAGGTGTAAGACATTCTTATAATATGGCCACAACACAAGAACATGCAAGAATAATAGACAACTTACAGTTATTCCTGGTCAATTTGCTGCACCTGAAACTGCAAGAAATGTGGCTGCACCTGATAATGTAACAAATATGTCTGCACCTGCAAAATGAAAAAAATGTTGTTGCACCAACTCAAGCTATCCAAGCTCCAGTAGAAAAGAAAAGAGTAAGTGTTACTTATAATTGAACTTATGCCTACAATTGCTTATTATTTATCAATGACTTTACCATGTGTTAACAGGGTCGGCCAAAAGGGAAGGGAGGTCCAACCAAAAAGGCTAAAGCAAAACAAACTCCACCTTCTGCTCAACCTGCACAAGAAGTTTCTCAAACTTATGATAATATATCTACACATTCTGCTCATCCTACACAACAATCTTCTCAAACTATTCAAATTACACAACAAGCATCTCAGATTGCTCATCCAACACAACAAGCTCCTATGAGTTCATATGAGGCTATGAGAAGGTACTGTGGTATAGACCATGACACATTGACAACTTTTTTAAATGATGATGATATCCTAGACATTGAGTCAATAAGTATTGATGTTAGTCCTACAAAGAAGGTCTTCAGCTCTATAGGAAATGGAAAAAAAATCATGGAATGACATTCAGAAGGGCTTGAGTCATTGATTTGTAGTTTCATATTATATTATTTTGGCACTTGTATGGTGAATGTACTACTTTTATTTTCTTATGAACCAACTATTATGGTGAATGTACTAATTTGGTTTGCTTAACAACCTACTGTACCACTTTTGAACTTATGTTATTTTGGATATAATTTTCATGAAATTATGTATTAGATTTTATGGTGTATCAGATTATATGTATCAGATTATTCATTGTTATGAAATATTTCTGATTTTATGTATCAGATTATGTATCAGCTTTTATGGTGTATCAGGTTATATTTATCAGATTATGTACCAATTATATGTCCAAACTGTATCAAATTAGATTCCAAACTTTTACCACATTATCTCCAAACTGTATTACAAACCAAAATAAAGGTGCTAATTATGTCCAAATTTTAGCCAAATTATGTCCAGACTGTATCAAATGAGATTCCAAACTTTTACCAAATTTTCTCCAAATTATATTACAAACCAAAATAAAGGTGCTAATTATGTCCAAATTGTATCAAATTAGATTCCAAACCTTATCCAACTTATTTATGATCAAACTGTTTCAAATTACATTCCAAGTTGTTACATTTCAACATTAAAACACATGTAATCTATACCCTTAACACTTACAGTCTTTCATGAAAAAAAACATTCACAGTTACAGAAATGAGAATACACAATATTTTCACATTTCTATTACATTTATCAACTTTCAATTTTCTCTTCAAAATCTTGTTCTTCTTTCTTGATTCTTTGTACAACTCCTTCATGTAGCCCATAGAGGCCATAACTTCGACCTCTGAGTTCATCAGGCTTGCATCTTCATTTACAAATTTTGCTCCATAGT